TGGAAATCTTTTTTGAAAGGCACAAAATTATTAAAAAAAAAAATTAATAAAAACTGATTAAGAACTTTAAAGGATGTTTAAGCAGGTTCCGAGAAATGATGAAACTCCGTTCAAAACAGCATCCAAAGGCTGATGAGGTTTAAAATGTGATAAAAACTCATGCTGAATAATGTCTCTCTGAGAGTGAATTCTAATTGAAACAGCGAAAATCATGCACTTGAAAGTTACACTAACAACACTGGGCTCGAACCTGAACAAATTTCGAAAGAAATCAGAGTTATGAGGCTCATTTCTACTCACTTAGATGAATAAAACAACCCTCGTTTGATGGTTTAGAAAAATCAAACTTTGAACCCTTAAGAGATTTCCAGCCGAGCTCCTCCTTCAAACTTTGTTGGGCATCTTGATAATTTTATTACAGGCTTTTCTAAGCAGCACCAAGCGGCTGACGGTTCTTTTTATTTATATTTGCGCTCGAAGTGGGTGAAATTAATTTCCTATCGGTGATGAATGAATTATTTTTTAAATTGAAATTCTATCATTTTTCCTAAGGGTTTTTCTAGTCAAGCTTCGATCCCATGGCACTCCGCATGGTGGCACACAATACTCGGCAGCCGAGCACCGTTGCGATGAGATAAAAGTGATGTTCTAATTTGAAAATGAAAAGAAATCCATAACTATTTTTCATTTAAAATCATTGCATTCTACGAACTCGAGCAACCTCCCTCGTAGTTTTCTGCACAACAACAATGCACACCATTGTTTATTTGTAAATACGTAAAGGAAGTATTTATACTCATTTTGTGCTCAGCCATCAAGCATCGTCACAGCTCATTGGCATTGACTGGACGTGTCGCGGCGGTTTTGCTATTTCATACAAAATTTTGTATTTTCCTTTCGCTTCTTTGGGAAACAGAAAACGACTCACTTTTTCACGTACATACACGTGTATTTATTAAAGGTTGTGCGTGTTGTCCATTCAATTTGCGATTCAATTGGATTTAATTGTACATATGTGTTTGTATACGTGCAACATCTTTCAATGATTTCAATTTTTAATTTCACATTTTTTCTTTAAATTTCCCCCAGTGCGTAAAGCCTTTCTTCAATACTATTCTTTTTCTCACAAATTTACAAAGTCACGCCAACTTGTGGGATAACTGCATACAAATATATACTAATATATGTATGTAATGGATGTACATAGCTACAGTTTTCAATTTAACGCTAAATGAAGTGCGAAATTACAAAAACATGAATTTCCCTACATAAACTCAACCTACAATTATTCGATTGTGTTAATTTATTTGTTCTTCCTCAGACTCATATGTGACTTGACTTCAATTCATTTGTTTACAAGCTGTTCCGGCTGACCGGCACTTTTCGGACTTAAGATTCCACAATGTTCCGGTTATTTGTTGGCACAAAACGTTTACACTCACAGCGGGTGGGGAGATTATGTCTAAGTAGCAATGGTTTTCTCATGTTTTACAGTTCTGATTGGTAGTTCTTTGCCCTTTCTTGAAATCTGAGTTAAGAACTTTGTTCTTTCATAAACATATTTACGTATGTTACACACATATCTATTTATGCCGTACGGCGTGTGGTCTCATGTGTTATAATGGTTTCAATTGTTTGAATTGGTGCGTGGTATTTTAATTAGTTACCAACGAACGAATGGGGGCTTAGTCTTCTTTAAGTGCTGGAGATAATAAGTGAATAAATATTTAATGAAAAAAATATAATTTGAAAATGAATAGAGAGGGTTTCATATACATACGTAAATCTAAAATTTTCCCCTTAGAAACAAAGCTCTGAATATTGAAATTAAAATGAGTTCAAAGGAGGACATCTTTTCAAAAACACACATTTATATATATGGTGCTTTGTAACCGCTGAAGCTATTCTTCGGCTTGATGGTTTTTTACGTATAGTCTTTTTTCATGTCAGAAATAAACTCGGTGTGGCTACCACAATTAGAAAATTTAACTTATTTTTTTATTTAAATTAATTTTCTGTCCGTCACGAGGATTTGAGCCCGAGCCTTCAGAATGCCAGTACGCAATGCTAACCTCTCGGCTACCGCGGCGGAGATATAAAGCTTAAATCCTTCAAATTCGATGCGAAAATAGTCAAGCAGACCATCAAGCAAGGTGATCATACAAAGGCTTTCAAGCTCAAGCCAGCTGCTGAACCCTAGCAGATTAGAAACGGTTCTTAAGAATTTTGATTGCCATATGAATCTCTTCCGAGTTTCCGCTGCTGCTTTCACGCAAAGTGTTATCCATTTTGCGACTGCAAAAATAAATGTAAAGTCTGAACCTTGGCATTATAAGTGGAACACAACATCACCCAAATGGCCACCTCTTCAATTTTGGCCAACTATGATTCGTTCGAGGTAATTTTCGATCACTTTTTGCCCCATTTCGGTCGGTATCTCTACCATAACTTCGCAAATGTTGGTTCTGAAGTGATCACGAGTTAAGGGTTTATCAGTCATAAACACAGTCTTTCGCGCATACTCATTAAAAGCAGTCCAACTGTGTCAAGATTACGCGGCTGGGAGATTTCTTTTGGTTTTGTTTTTTGTGTAATGGCATCAGGATGGATCTGGTAGTGAACGAGGGCAAGACGAAATATTTCCTGTCATCAAATAAACAGTCATCGCATTCGAGACTCGGCTCCCACGTCCCTGTTGACAATAATAACTTTGAAGTCGTAGATGATTTCGTCTACTGAGGAACCAATATTAACCCCAGTACTATCGTCAGTCTTGAAACCCAACGCAGAATCACTCTTGCCAACAGGTGCTACTTTGGACTGAGTGGGCAATTGAAAAGTAAATTCCTCTCTTGGCGAACGAAAACCAAACTCTACAAGTCGCTCATCATACGTGTCTGACTAAATGGCGTAGAAGCGTGGACGATGTCAACATCTGATGAATCGGCCCTGGGAGTATTCGAGAGATTTATGGTACTTTGCGCATTGGCCAAGCGGCCAATACCGCGGGCGGTACGAACTATTTTCCTCCAAATTGGGAAATTTCAACGTATAGCCACAATTTCATCTATTTGTTTACACTTAAGGTGTTTGGTCAAAATTTCGTCATGAGCGAGGAATTTGATATTCCGCGCACGTGAATAAAAGAAAATTTTGATCCCTGAAATCGCAGGAATACAACCAATACAACCGATTCTTTTGATATGAGATTTTAAATTCAAACCGCAAAAAAGCATCAGTACAATAAATATGATATTGTTGGTGTAGCTTACTACACCTAGAACCTTGTAGCTGTCAGTACACCTGCTGCATATTGCCCGTTGGCTGTATAGTACAAATCTATTCAAAGGAGAATCTCACACACAACATCGACAAATCAGTTATTGCTAATCACACGCATACACTTGTACATATATATTATATCGATATTCACCACACATCCATATGTTTGCATCAAATTAGGGCATCACCTTAACGACATTGTTGTGGTATTTTTCTTCACACTTCTAGGCCAAGTGTAAATATTTCCTTCTAACGAATTACATGCATGTGTGTGTATGTGCATAAGTACATAAGTGAAGACAAGTGTTGAATTAGAAATCATGGCTTAAAACTGGCACCTACGTGATGGATTAAACTAGTTCCTTTTGAACTAGAAATGGACCATTTTATTGAAATGTAAAAGTATATTAGCTTTGATGAGAATAATAAATAATAATCACAATTTGTTCATCTTATTTTTTTTTTTCTTGGCATCATCTTTGATGTAGTATTGATTGCCTAGCATTTAAATGATGTCATTGTTTCATTGAACTAGTCACCAAAAACTACTTTACAACTAGTTCCTACATGTCTTTCATGTGCACATATACATATATGTTAATACACATTAACTCAGCTAATTACTTGCACAACTCGATATACGTGTATGCTGCTCTTATTATCATTGTTATTTTCACGTGTTTGCCAAAGAACGTCAACAGGCATTAGCATTTGCGCAAACATATGTTTGTGTACATGTTACATATGGTCCACTTGCCTCGAAGGCTCCACTGTATTATGGCGCTTGGTTTTTGAGTTCTTCCATGCAAAAAATGTTTAGCAAAAATAACGAAAAACCACCTTGACGCCACAATACGGTGGTCAATTTCAAGTGCCTGCACTTACATTATTGCGGTAGACCGCTAGGTGAGCATGTGTGCTTGACAGTTTGCTCTTTGAAGTACCTCCACATTATGGCGTTTAAGTGCCTACACTGTGGGAAAACATCTACTGTTTATTATAGTTTTTTATTTTTTTTTTTTTTAATTTCATATTTTTAATTTAATTTTATTTTATTTTTCTTTATTTTACTTTATTTTATTTTATTTAATATTATTTAAATTAATTTAATTTTATCTAATTTTTGTTAATAAAATTTAGTTTAATTTAATTTTATTCTATCTTATTTTATTGTATTTTTTTTCATTTAATTTAATTTAATTTAATTCTATTTAATTTTTTGTTAATTTATTTTAATGTAATTTTATTTTACTTTATTTTATTTGTTTTTGTTTTCTGTTAAAGTTTAATTACTATTTTATCGTTTTTTATTTTATTATATTCCATTTAAGTTTATTTAAATTTTCATATTTTCGCCTACTATGTTATAGTAATGTATATATTTGCCTAATGTGGGGGTGTGTGTGAGTACAACTTAGTTCACAAATTATTTCAGTAAATATTTGTATACTGATCAATAAGTCCTTCAAGCCAATCATACTCTTACGGGAGCGTTTGTTGATACAATGGATAAAGTATCACATTAGCTATTGTATCGTATTCAAGAGCGGAGCCACTGAAACCTTCTAAATTTGTTTTATGTACATACATATGCATTTATGTATTAAAAGTTCATTCGTAGTTTGTTATGTTTAATCTCCATCATTAACAATTACTGATTAATAAATAAAAATTACAAATAATAAATAATTACACAGTTCTTCATTTTATATTTACAGGCATACACAATGCTGGGAAAATTCAGGTAATTTTTTTATTTATATAAAACTAAAGAAAATAAAGCAAAAGAAAATAAAATAACATAAAATAAAATAAAATAAAATAAAAAAAATAAGATAAAATAAAATAAAATAAAATAAAATAAAATAAATAAAATAAAATAAAATAAAATAAAATAAAATAAAATAAAATAAAATAAAATAAAATAAAATTAAATTAAATTAAATTAATTTAAATTAAACAGAATCAAATAATTTAAAATAAAGAACGAAATAAGATAAAAAAATATAAAGAATTATTGTAAATTGTAAATAAAATGAAATGAAACAAAATAAAATAAATTAAAATTAAATTATTAAAAGCTGTGATTCTTTATATATATGTTTTAATTATTTTTTTTATAATATTATTTTTGTTTCAACAATTTGAATAAATTCATGTTTGTAATGACTATAACACATGAAATTGCCGCCAAATATAAATGCCTTAATATTAGCTGAACTTTCTCTTTGTGCCACGAAAAAAATGCAAAACCGCTTTTTAGCAGAGAAAGGAGATTGGAGAATAAGCGAAAATAAAAAAACGAAAAATCAACAATAATCAGTAATTCAACAGAACTTTATGCTTGCACGATCACAAAAGCCAAAAAACCAACTAACTAAAAATAGTAGCAATATAAAATAGAGAAAATTGTAAAAGATACTAATAACAGCACACTTGAAGTCAAGTTAAAAGGAGGGTGGTCAATACGGACTGGTAGGTACAACAACATAGCAATGACAATGAACGTTGAGACAATTGAAACTGTGTGAGCATACTATATACATTTACAAATATATATATACATATGTGTGTGCATATATACTATATGCATGCGTTTTTCTAGTTGTGCCACAGCAGGTGTTTTATGAATATTATGTTGTTTTTGCAAATGGAATGACTGTTGCTTGGCATATAATGTAAAGGTTAATGACAAAAAACTCATACAATCATTAAGAGCATATCGCTGTTCGAGTATGTATCTACGTGTATGTGTGTGTAAAAACTAGCATTGTTAAAACAGTAGACAAATAAGATAACAGTAGGATAAACAAAGCAACAATTTTGCGTATTTTTTGTATTTGTATTGTACATAAATAAATAAAATCGTATGTGCTTTACCGTCAAATGTTGCCCGACTGTGGCAAAAGTAACAAATGACTTTTTTGTGGCGACGCAACCACCGTGACGCACTGCCATAGGGGAGGCTAATAAAGAGTAGTAGAAGTAAAAGAGAGAAGGCGTTCGAAACTCATATTGGAAACTACAAATAAACCTACAATTTAAAGCAAAAAATGGATTGTACTTTTTCTCGTTTTGTTGCTATTTAAAAGCATTTTTAGTCGTCTTGATTACAATGCTTCGTATAGGGATAAAAGACCTGCTATTAACTATAGCACTGATGGAATGCTATGCTGTTGCAAGGTTGACTCCGAGGTTTCATCTTGTGTTTTTGAATTTTTTGAAATGTAATAAATTTACAAAAAATGGAAAGAAGTTTTGTCTTTGAGCATGCTGAAGTATATTACATTCAATATTACATTACATTGAATATTAAAACTAAATACTGATTACCATTTCTGAAAACCGGTTGTGGGTACTGTATGCTATAGCAATCCGACGATTTTCGTCGACCGATAGTCCGGAGGTTTGATTGGAACTTACATGTAAACCGACTTTGTTTTGGTCTGCAATTGAAGAAAATGACTTGGAAAATTTGTGGTTTCAACAAGAGAGTGCCATACAACGCAGCGAATATGGCTTTCCCGGTCGCATAATCGCTACAAAACCGCTTCCGCAGCAAGTGCGCTTGCGCACATAGCAAAGGAATGATACAAACGAGTCAATTAGCATAATTTGATATGCAAATTAAAACTGGGCACAGTCAAGCGGGAAAATCAAAATTCCAAACAGAATACATACAAACTTATGTAGATAACGAGGAACTATTTTCAAATAATTTTTGCGCTAACCTCTGGGCTTGAAATCATGCCCACGTTTCGAGCACATATCTATGTGATTCCCCTTATATACACATTTGTAAAAAAAAAAACAAAAGAAAAACTTATGAATCCATCAATGAATGTAGCGCATTTGTTTCATGCCTACCTGCGCCTGCAACTGCAACTCAGCTCGCTTGAGCGGTCGTGAAATTGGTTTGTGGTGCCCTAACTGTGTGTGCTGTGTTTAGTGACATGCAACGGAAATGAAAACAAAAAAAAAAAAAACGAAAAAATAAAAAAAACAAAAACAATAATAATGCAACAGTGTCACATTCATGACGCATGCAACACCACCGGCCAAAGCTGGTAAAACAAAAATAACAAAAGGAAATACTCACATACAAACACATACGCGTGCGCTCAAATAGCCTCACAGCGGTATAGCGATATCTCACCAAAAATGTCAATGCTAGTGGTTTATGGTGGTGGCCAGCGGCTGCTGACTCCTGGACTAATGGACATTTAATGGAAAATCAGCGCGACTAGCTGATAGCCAAAGGCGTCACAGTTATGCAATGGTCATTTAGATATGACAACGGCGGATGGCTACCGCCGTTACAAATGTGGAAATGTAAAATATTTGTTCACCTACATATATGTATGTACATACACGTGTACATATGTATGTACATGCATAGGAGTGAGCATGTGTATTTGTACTGGGGTCAAAATAAATTAGTGCAAGTGCATGTATAACACGATTTTAGTTAGTGTTGCCATGTTTGTATGTGCATAAATAGGGGTTGGAGAGTTACACAAACAATTTGATTGCATCAACAAACTCAAAATATTACTCATTCAGTTGTTTTGTACTTCTAGGTCTGATTAAAATTATTGCCAAGGTAAACATAGTTTGTTCGCGTAACATATAAATAAATTATTTATAACGGTAAAAAGTCATAAAAGCGGATTTATATATATTTAAAAAAATTTCTTATTTTATATATCTTTGAACAACTTTTTTCCTTGAAAATTAATTTTATTAATACTTCCGATTGTAGTCAAAAAGCGAAAAGAAGATAGAAATGGCGCTCTTTAACTTGACAGACACCAAACCAAATGATAGTCAGATGCAGCATGATCCAGACTACTATATGAACCAACCCTTCTCAACTAAGCTAAATTAATATTTTCCTGCTCTTCAATAAACTACGTGGTTTGACGTTGTCATATACTGCTCAATTATGGACGGTTTCTTGTTTTCTTTTGAGAACTGTTCTTTAACTGGTTGCAGCAGCTCATAATGGGTAATTCTCTTCCAATCACACCACACACTCAGCATCACCTTGCTCTCTCAGGATTTGCAGAGAGGCACCGTCTGTGACCATAAATACTTATGTTTTATTTTCAAGTATTTAATTCATATTTCATGGCTTGAGATGAGTCGTCTCGAAAATGTGTTTCACTCAGTTGCATTTGGTGCAGTACAAAAGTGGCTATAGAAAATATTTGCAAGCGAGTTTCGAGCGAGCTCCAATCCTAACTTGTGCTGCGCGTTTTGATTTTCATCGCCCAAATGCAGGGCTTACAATGTATAAAAAGCCGTCTCCGAACGTGAGATGATTCTTTTTTTCGGGACTTCTATTTCATGCGCATAAAAGCACACCGGGTAGAAGACATTTCCTGCCCTGATGGGGCCGCAATTATATAAAGTAATTGAATTTTTTTTTTAAATATTACAATTTGGTTGTTGGACCAAACAAATTACTAGGCAATGCCCTTTATATCTCTCACCAAAGCCTGTATTTGTTCAGAAAGCTGGAGCTTTCAGCAGTGTGGAAGTTGTGCTGCCTCAATCTGCTAGAAGCTACTACTGGCAAAGGCAATGCTTCAGCATATCGTACTCTTCTGTACGGTCTACACTTAGCTGATTCGAACATATTTAGTTTAAGGACAAGATGTCTGCTATCAACATTACCCCCACTGTAGCTTAGTTGTTTTCCCCCCACAGGATGTGTCTTTGCAACATTTGAATGCGCTGAGAAGTCGGAGACAGTTGATGCTGGCAGTCTTGCCAGCCAGCCTATCCTCCTTTTACTTACTTTCCACATATTTAGTACCGGGAACCCAAAGGATGCTCACGGTCTTTTTCCGTAAGTCGGTCATTGAGTTTGATGCTAATTTTCTTATTGAGAAGGGAACGGTGCACATAAAAACACTACTCCTGTGGTGGCCTATAAACCTTCGACTTAGTTATTATTAATCAAGAAGGAGCATATGACATTCATATGACCGCGAATTTCTTTTTCCTCTAAATTTCTACTCTTAGCTGGATCTCTGTTATATCATTTTGTATATTGTCTGGGACTTTCAAACAATTCATTATTAGACACCTGAAAGTTGACGGACCTGATGTTAGAGTGCCTGCTATATCAAGAAGTGCGGAACTTGGGTGTCACAAATTTCATATAAATCTCGGTCCAGATCAAACTATGAACACGAGTATTTAGCATTTAACAAAAGATGAGCAGAGGAGTTGGATGATATCTATTACTCTTCAGTTCTGCTGTCATCGAAAAGACTCCTGTATCAAGTTTAAGCCGCAAGTTTTATCACGTTAAGCTATCGAAGTCTGACTCTCGCTAGTTTTGGATCATCGGGCTTTTGAAATTTTTTATTGTTCTCAAGGCGCGTCGTACTATCAATTGACCGGGTGGTGCGTCACTCGGGGTCCAGTCGAACTAATGATAATCGTGTGAATTAAAAAACTTGTTTTGAATTTCAACTGATCAGGACTTCCCTCCTCGGCAGCCAATTTTTTTAAATCATTTGAGCCTGATTTTTTTTTGTTTAATTCTCATGTTATTTGAGTTTTGAATTCAGTTCTTATTAGTCACCAAAGTACATCTGGTAAAAATGTTGCCTTCAGATCTCTAATTGGTTCAGCCTTAGGCGTTCTATGGTCTTCATAAGATGGTAAATATATGGAAACAATTTAGTCGCTGCTTCCTTTTCTTTTCTAGATTTCCATCAGAATGGCCAT